ATCCGCTTTCGAAGAAGCCAGAACAAAGTCCAAGGTTGTTGTTGTCCGTGGAGGAGCCGTTCGCCGCGGTCTGCGCGGGGGACAGGGCTGGTCGGGCCAACCCGAGAGCCCTGCATCCGATTCACCCCTGAACCCCCACCCACGTGCCCAGGGCCCTGAGTTGCCGCGCCCAGGTGAACAATACCTCCTGCTCACACTTGACTTGGGACACCTGAGGACACTCACTTAATTAGGCACCTCGTTTTAATAGTACCGCCTTGGACGCTTGGCCTTCGGGAGCACCTTGAGGAACTGCACACCCTCAGGCTTGTCACCGCTGGCCACACAGGCACCTGCATGCACTGCATGGCTGCAGGTCCTTGGCCAACCTGAGCAGCCACAAAATCTTTCTGAGACCGGGCCTGGGGGAAGCAGGGTGACTTTGCCTGGGGCTTAGAAGTCTCTGATGTTACCTGCTCTTTCTCTGTGCTTAGAGCACTGGAAACTCAACTCCACCTCTTGCCAAAAAAATGTGCCTGAGAATCTTGTGGGGTTTAGAGAAAGTCTCTAGGCCTCCCTTCACCTTTGCCTCCCCCTTCACCAAGTAACAGGCCAATAGGACCTCCTGCGGCTACAGTGAAGGCAGCCTTTAGGACATGGTGGTCCCTGCCCTGCTCCTCGGAATCCTCAGGTGATAAAATGGTGTGTGGGTGCATTTTTCTGTTTGTATGCTAAGGTCCTTGTTTGTGTGTGGCCTGCTGCCCCCCCCCAGCCTCAACCACCCCCATTTTTGGCACCCAGTGCCTAGCATGTATGCCAGGCCTCTGCTTAGGCACTAGGAGTTGGTACCAGTACCTGGGTGCCAGGCCCTATGCTGAGATGCACCCCAAGGGGAATCCCAGCTTCCACTGAGCCTCCAGATCTTGCCAGTGTCTCATCCCTGCCCTCGCTAGGTCTCGAGAGTTCGTGGACTACTGTCACAGTTCCCAGCCCCATTGCTCATTCTTTTTCCTGTGCTCAGGCACTATGCCGGAGTTTCATGACAGTGACTCTTCCAAAGCAACCTAGGCATGGTCCCTTGATAATGGGGCAGGGAGATCTCAGACAGCAGCTACAAGCCAGACCCTTTTAAAGGGAGAGGCTTTGGGTGGAACACCTATCTCCACCCTGAGCCACTCTCCTTCCTCCATCTGTCTCTCCTGGAAGTATGGATGACAGGCTAGGCCTGGCCTGAAAGGCAAGATTTTCCTGGACAGGGTGTATATATGATCCTGGATAAGACTTTGTATACCTGTGTTTGTATGCACTGTGTCCATGGAGCTCCATGGCCTATGTGTGCCATTGGCTGGGTTGTTCCCCAAGCTATGATATTGTGTATGCCTGTACATATATATGTGCATATTTTTTTTTTTTGGTTGAATTGTTTTTTAGAGGAGGTTTATTTTTTGTTTTTGGTGCTGAGGACCGAACCCAGGGCATCCAGCTTGCTAGGCAAGCATTCTACCGCTGAGCCAAATCCCCAGCCCCCTTGTGCATATTTTGTTTCTGGTACCTCTCACTTCTCTGGTCTGGGTCATCCCATCTCTGGAAACATAGGGGAAATATTCCTTTTTCAGATCCACTGAGTCTTGTGCTCTGAATCCATGGCCCAGGCTCAGAGGTAAGTTGCAGTACCTTTGGCCTGCTTTCTGCTTTCAGTTATAGAACCTGCATTGATTGGAACACCCTGTTCTATTCATCCCACTGTGACTTTAGCTAGGGTTTCTCTAGCCTGAGGCTACGCAAGCTTCCCTTTAAGGACAGGGAGGGAGATACTGTGTGATCTAGAGTGGAAGAGTAGAGAGATAGAAGGAGGAAAGAAAAGTAAGGCTGGAACAGGGAGACATGGTCCTACCCTGTCCTGTGAAGGAACCACAGAGGACATTAACTCATCAGGCAGCCCATGATGGGAATAAAGACTGCCTGAGAGTGGGGAATAATGGGAATTGCTGTTGTCTCTATAGGATGGCTAAAATGGGGAAAGAGGTGTTTCTAGCTGAGCTTCTGGGACCTTGTCTTACCTCAGGTGGAGTCATTACTACTGTGAGATTTGGGTCTTGGTGGGGATGGGCTTTTTGCCACATTATTAGGTACCTCCCTACCACTCATCTCACTGCCTAGCCTGGAGTCCATGCCTCTTCCTCCCCAGTATCTATGCCCAACCCTCTGTGGCCTCATCAGCCACTGACCTCTTCCCTTCATCAGGTAGTAGAAGGTGGTTCAGGCAGTCATAACTGGGAGGGGCTGGCCCAGCCCTGTCTGAGGTCTGGTGCCAGGTTGTTCCTGCCTCGGGGCAGACAACCAGTTGCTGCCAGATCCAGAAGTCTTGGTTGGTAAGGCCCTCCAGGGAAATGGAGGTGGGCAGGGGACTGTGCAGATAAAGCAGGGCCCAGCAGAGCAGAGGAATGAAGGACAACCAGGAGAACCCCTAGAGCCATCCCACCCCAGACCTTAGCCCAGTTTTTCTTTGTCCTTTGTCCCACCTTGATCAGAAAGCTAGTTAACCAGACCCTGACAGTTTTTCAGACTATGGAGGACTAAAATCTGGGCTGGCAGGCGTGTCCTTCCTGGCTGTGCCCAAGCACAGTCTAGTGGCTCACTGGCCCCATCTTCTGGCCTTTTGGGAGAGAGCACCTGAGAAAGGAAGACTGAGTGCTGAAGATGGGAGGGAGAACAGAAGTCCAGAGTTTGGAGGGGGCAGCCAGTAGTTGTCTCCAAGAGCACTCACACCCAGTCCTCTGAGTATACTGGGGTTCCTGGATCCAGGCATTCACTTACCATCTCTTGTTCCTCTGTGCTTCAGCTCAGAGGTAGCACTTGCTCCATTTCCTCTGTCTGGTACAGATGCCCCCTTCCTGCCAGTGCAGAAAGTCCTTTCACCTGCATTCCAGACCCCATCTTGCCCTATCATCAAAGCAGTCTTTCACAGAAAATGTCTTTGTGGGTGTCAGTTCCCTGCATTATGTACCACAGACAAAGCAAAGGACCACTTAACTGCTGCCAGCCACACTATTCTCCCACTGGCAACCTCAACTTCAATCTCAATCCTGTTTCTTTTGTGCTGAGGATTGAACCCAGGGCCTCATGCAAGTTAGACAAGCACTCTACCACTGAGGTTCATCCTATCCCAGTAATCTCAACCATATCCCTTTCTTCAAGCATCATTCTCCTGCTCTCTGCCCCTATTCTCAGCCACATTTCTCTAAGGTTGTCTACAATCTCCATCACTGCGCAACCCTCCCCCATGTTAGCCTGGGGTCAGCTCCCCCTCCTGACCTCTCCAGATGTAACCAGCAAATGACCTCCTAGTCCTTAAATATCATTGAGCCGTCTCTGCCATCAGCTAACTTGGCCACCTTGAAGTCTCTCTGCCCTGCTGACCTCTCCAGACCTTCTCAAGCCTGTGTCCCCTTTGATGTCTATGAAGCCATCCTTGCTGAGTTTCCTCCTACCTCTCTGCTTCTCTTCTTCTGCCTTTTTCACCTTGTCCTCCTTGTGGGTGAGCTTGTGGCTGCAGAGACCTCGCTTGCTCTCCCTACCCCACGATGAGCTCATCTTCCTACTTACATATTGGTGACACCCACGCTCCCTCGCTGTCCAGCCAAGGCCTCCCTCTTGACTCCAGGCCCACGCAGCCAGCTGCTCTGGATGCCTCCCTTGGACACACATAGGGCCCGTGCACATATTCAGCATGTCTAAAACTGGTCTCATTATCTTCCTGACTCCTGCAGCCACCACATCCTCAGTCTTCACTTCAAGCACTGGCCTTGGCTTCAGAACTTCTTGTGTTGTTCCAGGCCTGGGTTAGATGAAGAGGCTTCAACATAACTTTTTTTCCCTCTCTTTCTCTTTTCTCTCTCAGATTAGCCTTGAACTCCTGGTAATCCTCCTGCCTCAGCCTTCCAAGTGCTGGGATTGCAGGTGTGTACCACCATGCCCAGCTTATAACTCTTTATAGCAAGTCTCATTACCTCCTATTTCAAGGGAACTGAAGCATCCAGAGTCCAAAAAAATCACCCAAGTTCTCCGACACAAGTATACTTGAACCTGCCCCAAGATTCTGACTCAGGTGTATCTGAACCCCAAAAATCTGCTCACAAGAAGTATGCTAGCACAAAACTCTGAGCCAAGGAGAGTTTGAGATAGTCTTAAGCAAATGAAACCTATATCCTATTTGGACAGGGAAGAGATCGGAGTCCCATTTGGTCCCATTTGAGGAAGGCAGGAAGAGTGAAGTCTAGTTACTGCATCCAGATGATGAACAGGAACAAAAGTCTCATTTCCACAACCTGAGTGTGAGGCACCCATGGACAAGCAAGGGCTGAGGCCAGGGGCAAGTTGGTGCCCAGGAGTTCCAGCGCATCACACATGTGGCATGGGATCCCTGGAGGTTGCAATCTAGGCAGGAACTAAACCCCCAGTTTTTCAGAGGTATCCCTTGTAGTCTGGGTACCTGGAGATTCAGCCCTTTAGTTAGCAGGAAGAAGAACAGTAAGATGCAGGAAGTCAGGGATATCACTTGGATTTCAAATTGTACCAGCTATTCTCCATTTACAGAATGGAAGGCAGAGGACCAGGGTCCCTCAAAGTGGGGATGGGAAACACAGTTCATGCTCTGCAGAGTTTTCTGGATAGACCCCAGAGGAGACCCCAGAGCACTGAGAGTATTTGGCTGCCTCTGGGTGAGATCCTCCTTGGATCTACCAGGATGATTTGGAGTTATTAACAATTTCTTTCATATTTATTGTGTTTGTTGCATGCCAGTCCTTGTGTTCAACTTCCTTTACTATCCTCCAATTATCCCTCTGAAGCAACTACCAAACAAAGAAAAAGGCCCAGAGAAGTTAATTGCCATGTTCTGGGCCACACAGCCATTCAAATCCAATGCTTCTAACCACCAGACCACATTGCCCCTGGGCTTCAGCCCAGAAGGTTGGCATTATTCAGTGGACATTATGAGGACAGCAATCTTTTTTATTTGCTTCTAGATTAGAAACATGTCTCCTAAAAACAGAATTAAAGCAAATTTGATTGTTCGTATTAATTCCAAAACTTGCTTCCTTAACAGCTTCTATCACCCCTGATTCAGGCCTTTTCTTGGCAGAACAACTGCAAAAGATACAAAAATTAGCTGCTGTTGGCTAGCTGGTGTAATTTATTTGCATATACATAATTCAGCCCCACCCCTGGTGGCTAATACCCCCACTGGGGAAGCTGAGGTTGTTTTCTGATTGCTAGTAGGGAGGCCTGTGTGTGTTGTTTTTTTAAATAAACTGAAACCAGATGGAGGGGGTTTTGTTCACAGCCTTGCCTCCAATTTTCTCCAGCAAATTCCTTGAAAAAGCAGCCACCTATGAGTGGTGCTTGTTCTCTGTGGAGGTCCCTCACCGCTGGTATGCAAATAGCAAGTGGGATTGATATTTCTAAGAGTGAAAACAAAGGGAGAAGAGTTGTGTGGCTGGAGGGCCCTTGGAACACAGGGTCATCTGGTGGACCCCCAATTTCAGGTTTGTGCTTATAGTTTATGGCCTCACTTTCTTCCCCTTTCCCTTGAGGTCAGGGTGGGCTGGGGTGAGGGAGTTGGGCTAGGCTTGAGTCAAAGTCACCTGGACCAACCATGCAGAGTTGTAAGTATCAGACCACCAAAACTTCCCATTTGTAGCAGCAGCCCCTGTCAGGAGACCCTGACCTCTCTGGTTGGGTTGATTTTGCAGTCAGAGATTATCCCTCCAAAGAGGCCCAAAGCCTCTGCTGCTTCCATCCTGGAAGGGCCAGACTCTGAAGGTGATTGTTGGAATATTTTTAACCACTGGCCAGGTCAAGGGCTTTGTAGTGCCCCCAGAGCCCTCATTAAGTGATTTTTTGTTCAGAGAGAAGGGGGAAAGTGTGCCTACTGGTTCTGTGTCCCCCTGCCAAAGCTTTAGTATTTTTCTTTGAAATGTGAATTGGCCATTGTGATAGTGAGGTAGGACCCCATCCCCAGACAGAAGAGAACACTCCTTTCCCAGAGCTGACCTTCATTCTTACCTTAGAACACTGTCCTTTTGGATTCTGAGCTTTTTCAGATAATTGTGTCAGGTTACATAAGGTTTTAAGATATGAACACTCAAAAGAAATTCCCTGGGAGCAGGTCTGAGAGGTTACGGCACAGAATTTCCTTTAATGTATTCGAGGAAAAATTCAGGTGTCTCAGCCTTGCACAATTTCTGGAATAAAGTAAATGAGAACAGCCAACTTATTTGCATGCATGCACCATTCCCCATAGACATGAGCAAACAAAAAGACAGATTTCATGCTGAAAGGAAGTTCTCCTCCCTGGGGACCCCTGCATGATCGGTGGAGGTCAGGTGCAGGGTGGGCATGGACCAGGCTGGCTTGGACATGGAAATCCTCAGCATCCCAGCAGATCTGCCCCCACCCTCCTTTTTCTGCATCTTAGGTAACACATGTTGTAAATACAAGCCTTCATTTTTCCAAGAAACATAAAAACTGAATTACTGGCAGAGAAGCCTTAAAATCTTTGCTTCCTAGGACTCTATGGGCACATTTTCCACACACCATGAGTTTTATTTCATTTGCCTCTGAGGAGTGGCCCTCCAGCAGCTCTGTTGCATAAGGTGCTGCGCCCAAACACCTTGTCCCCAACTTGGAGACACAAAGTAAGTTTTATCTAGGTCTGAGGAGAATTCTCGATGGGTGACATCGTGTTCCAAGTCACACTGATTATTGTCAACAGCAGGAGAGCTGTTGATAGAGCCTTCTCACTGAGGAAGCAGACAGAATATTTTAAATATTCAATGGCATTTCTTGCTTAAAGCACATAGTGGTCATAAAAACCACTTAACAAGGAAGAATTAATGGGAGGAAATGACTTGACTGTAGCAAATCTTAAAAATGTTTTACAAGGGCTGTGGAAAAAATAGATTTATTATGTTGAAGAATGGTAATATAGGCAATTGAACTTTTTTTTTCTTTTGAGGTACTGGGGTTTGAACTCAGGGCCTCACATATGCTAAGCATGTGCTCTACTACTGAGCTACATCCCCTGCCCAGAAAAATCAGTTAATATACACAAAAATAACTCCTCAACAAGAGATTTTTTACTTTCCACAGAAAACGCTTCACAGAAAAATTCCTATGAATAGCACTTTTCCTTCCTTCCTTCCTTCCTTCCTTCCTTCCTTCCTTCCTTCCTTCCTTCCTTTATTGAATACATACTGTGTTCCAGGCTCTGTATGGAAACAGTAGCAAACTAGACAGATATCCTTCCTCTCCTGTGATGTCTGACTGGCTGGAAAGACAGCCTTCAATTAGATCTTTACAGTGGAGAAGCCACTGACAGAGGGAAGCCCAAGCTCTTCTGCTCAGGGTCAGAAAATGCTTTCTGGAAGGAAGTGATGTTTCAGGTAGAAGGAGCCCAAGTGCAGGTTCTGCTGGTTTGGGCAGGATGAGCTGGATCTCCTGGATCTCCTTTGGCAGTTCCTGGAGACCTGAGAACCAGCCCATGGTGCAGGGAGCTGAGGCTTTCCAGGAATGGAAGGTCAGCCAGCAGGCCAACAGAAGTCAGCCAGAGTTAGGGGACAGGCAAGGTCTTAAAGACTGTTGGGGCTTTGATTCTAATTTCACAGTATATGCAAATATTTCTTCCAGGGGAGCAGGGAGAGTTGAGGGTTGTAGACAGGAAGTAAAATAATTACCTTGACTTTTACTTTTTTTTTTTTTTTTAAGCTGCCACAGGCTATTGTTGCAGGCAGCCGAGTTAGATAGAAATATCATAGGCAGTTAGACAGGGTCAGGCCCTCAAGGAGACAAGATGAAGAGAAGGTGACTTTGCAACTTGGAAGAGACAGACACTCCCATATGGGCCACACCTCAAGACCAAGACAAAAAGAGGAAGCACAGCTACATCCCTAGGGATGGACATTAGGGAGTGATATCGTAAATAGTATCAATCAACTTGAAAGAGCCCAAATGAGTCACTAGCCCAACCCCAACAGGAAGAGACCCTGTTCCGTACGTGCCCGCTTGCTACGTGACTCACTTTCCCATTTGATACTGGATTTAATCAATTTTACCTGAGCAATGGTGCTTGTAATCTCATTGGTTGACCATAGTTTGGTCCCACCTCATGCCCAACTGAGCAAGTTCCCATGTCTTCTCCACCACCTTAGACCTGCCTCACCACATGGTTTTCCTCTATAAAAGTCCCTGTAAGAGACAACTTCTGGGGGGTAACTACCCGCTCGGGGCCCCCCTCCTTCTCAATAAATATATTCTGCTCATAACCTCCATTTGTTCCTAAAATTCATTCTTCGGTTTTTTTTAAATGTTATGATCAACAAGCACGGCTTTATTATTTATTTATTTATTTATTTATTTATTTTATTTTTGTGGAACTGGGGATTGAACTCAGATCCTTGCGTTTGTCAGTCAAGTGCTTATCCTACTGAGCCATCTCCCTGGCCCCCATTCTTCGGTTTTAGAGAACACGAACTTGTGCAGGTCAGGTCGGGAGATCGTTTTTCCCTGTGTCATTTGGAGGTTCCCTATATGGCTTGGAGGTCACCCACCTGAGACCAGTTTTTCTCCCTGTATCACTATAAGGACAATAGGTTGACAGAAACAGGGCCAGGGGGCCAAGGAGATGGCTCAGTGGAATAAGCGCTTCCCTGGCAAGTGCAAGGGCCTGAGTTCAATCCCCCGGTTCCACCAAAAAAAAAAGAAGGAAAGAAAGAAACAGGAACAGGGACAGGGAGCCTCCAGTAGATGCAGTGAGTCAGCAGGCCACTGTGCTGGTCAGGGTAAGAGATGTTGGTGGTTAAGGGAAGTTGGGAAAAAAGATAAATATTTGTATTTTATAGTTTTTTTATTTGGTCTTTTGAGACAGGGCTTTGCAGGGGCTATGGAGATAGCTCAGGCCCAAGGACTGGGGTTCCATCCTGGTACCATATGCTGCACAGGCCCCTCCCTGGTTGTGTCAAGCCAGCCACCAAGACTGGGCGTGATGGCGCATGCCTGTAATTCCAGTGCTGGAGAGGCTGAAATAGGAAGATCACTATGAATCCGAGCTGCATAGTAAGACTCTGTACCAAATACATAAAATTAAAAAACAAAAAAGAGAGAGAAATGCCTTTGCTATGTAGGCCTTGAACTCATTATGTAGAACAGGGTGGTCTCAAAAACAAGTGGTCCTTTTGCCTCAGCCTTCTAAGTGCAGCGATCACAGGCATGCACCACCAGGCCTGGCTTGGACAAGCCAAAATAGATGGGCTGACTCATCCAGAGAACTAGACAAAGCCCAGAGAATAGGGCTCTGGCTGGCCACCTCCCATCCAGGATAATTTGATAATTAAATTTAATTGTGTTCCCTGATGAAATAGACAGCATCATTTCCTGTAGGAAGATAAGGAAAGTTCAGATTATACACACCAATAACTGCTACCTATAAAACACCCTGTGTGCTTTAAAAGAGAGGGTGTTAATTTTCAGGCTTCCTCACAGCCCTATGTAACAGCTATTGGGAACCCCATTTCACATATTAGCATACTGAAGTTTGGAGAAAGGTTAAAGGATTTGCTCAAGGTCAATACCTGGTGACTGGCAGAGTTGGAGTTGAAACAGAACTGCTGTGCTGTCCTGGGTCATGTGATAAGGCTTAGGAAATGCAGGAGCACATTGACTCTGACTAAACCAATGCTGGCTCAGCCCCAGGGTCGGATGAGCCAGCTCTGCCACCCAGGATCCTCCTCTCATTTCTAAGAGTCATGAAAACTTCTTGCAATCTCACTTGTGTGCACTCAAACCATAAAAACACAGTTGGCTTTTTTTTCTCCCAGTGGCTGGGGCTCTTCTAACCTACGAAGACCTGCCTTGTGGGTGAGAGGCCACAGTTCTAGGCAGGAACAAGCCTGAGAAACTGAATTTTGTCCCAGAAAAATATGTCGCACATGTTCACAGGAATTGGTCAAGGGTGGCACTGAGATGCTGGGACAACCCTCCCAGTAAAGAGAAACCTGTGGGAAAAGGCCTGAGGACAAAGCAATGCTGCTGGTTCCAGGAGCTGCTGTCCTTGCAGAGGATAGGGGCAGCCTACACAGACCAGGGAGGAGGATGGAAGCTGACCAAGTAAAACCACAAATGTATTATCTTATGGTTCTACAGGTCACAAGTTTGAAATGGATCTCACTGAGCTAACGTCCAGGTGGCAGCAGGCTGGTTCCTTCTAGAAGTTCTGGGAGAGCCCGCTTCTTTGTTTTAACCAGCATCTACAGGTTGCCTGCATTCCTTAGTTCATGGCTCCTTCCTCCATCTTTGAACTTAGCCGAGCAATGCCTTCAAAGCTCTCTGACTTCTGTTTCCATCATCACATATCCTGCTCTGACCCTCTGGCCTCCTTAGAAGACTGAGAACTCCTTTGAGCTACTCAGATAATCTGGGATAATCTCCCTAATGTGGTCCTTAATGTCTTCTCATCTGCAAAACATTTTGGGGGGCTATTATTCAGCTTACCATCCACTTTAACAAATTAAGAGAAAGAAACATAAGCCTGGGAACTGGTAGGAGAATGGCCTGAAAGTAGACAGGCTGATGTTAGGGAGACCAGAAAGGAAGATGTCAGGGAGATCAGCGAAAAAGATTGTGGTGGTCAGGATGGAGTGGTAGGGGAAGAATGGACAAAAGATGTGTTTCAGAGGAAGGCTGGACTTGGGGACTATTTGGGTTAGGTGGGCAGGAATTAGAGGAGAGACATGGAAAGATGTCTGAATATAGAGATGGGCTAATGGGTTCATGGAGGAGCCTTTTGGAGAACCCAAAGGGAAGAGCAAACTTGTGGCAAGGACAAAAAGGACATGTAGGGATATGTATCTAAGATACCTTTGGGACATCCAGGACAGGTTTCCAGGAGAAAGGTGGATACAAGGTCCAGAAAGCTGTGATTCTAGGATCACTCTCCTTCCAATTGGCATACATGTACTCACCTCCCCCTCTCTTTCTTTTGTTTCTTCTTTCTTTCTTTCTTTCTTTCTTTCTTTCTTTCTTTCTTTCTTCTTTCTTTCTTTCTTTCTTTCCTTTTTTTGGCAGAACTGGGGATTGAACTCAGACCCTTGCGCTTTCTAGGCAAGTGCTTATTCTACTGAGCCATCTCTCCAGCTCCTCCACCTTACTTTCTGAGTCACCATCTCTGAGCCTGTTTTCCACTTCCAGATAAGAATTGAGAAATCATCTTGTGTTTCTAAAGTCACAATAACATTGCTATTTATCTGTTAACCTTGAGTTTTATCTTTTTTTTTTTTTTTTTTTTTGTAATTTTTTTTAGTTGAGGTTTTAGGTTTTGGTTTTGGTGCCAAGGACTGAACTGAGAGTTTTATCTTTTTTGAAAATAAGAATTTAAATTATAGGGAGATTAAGTCCCTTACACAAGGGTCCATGACTGGCAAAGGACAGAGCAGGAAGTTAGCAAGTTATGGGAGAGTTATGTTCTTTCTTTCTTTTCTTACTTTCTATGCTTATGACTTACATATGTTAGAGATCCCATTGCTATCTGTCTATTCTGACAAATAGCCAACAAGCTATTCACTTTTTATGGTGTTGGAGATAGGGAGAAAATAGAAACAGAAGACAACAGGATTTTTTTTTTTTTTTTTTTTTTGGAGACTTTTTGGAGACAGGGTCTTGCTACGTAGTTTGGCCTTGCCATGTTCTCACTGTAGCTCAGGCTGGGCTTGAACTCATGGTGATCCTGTACCCAAGCCTGAGATTATAGGCATGCATCACCATGCTCTAGTTTTGATAATTTTTTGCTACATATCCCAGCTTGGTTTTGAATTTGATCTCCTCCCGCTTTAGCCTGAGTGCTGGGATTATAGGTATGCATCAATAATCTATCTTTCTTCCTGTCTTTTGCAAAAAACCTGAGTTCATCTATTCTGAATGTCCCCCAAGGAGGAGTGGTGGAGTTGGTCAAGGAAAATCCAGCTCAGCAAGAAGTCTGATAGGGCCTGGTGTCTGTCCACTGGCAGCCCCAGGATAGTCCCACAGAGGCTGCACTTGAAAATCCTATGACTTGGCTTCATTACCAAAGAAGACTCATAACTGGAGACTTTCTTTTTTCGCAGTACTGGGGATTGAACTCAGGACCTTGCACTTGCCAGGCAAGCGCCTGTTCTACTGAGCTATCTGCCTGGCCTCTTTCTTTTCTTTTCTTTCTGTAAAACATGGTTCCTTTGCAAAGACCTAGGAAAGAGGACCCTGGTGGACTCTACAATTGAAGATTTATTCTTGATTTAAGGGCAATAAATGAGATATTTTGTGTTACCTATATTAAGCTTTTCTGCATCACACTTTAGGGTGTGTGAACTCTTAGTTCTGTATTTTACTTGTCTAGATCTACTGCTTCCTCAGCCTATAATATCCTTAAAGGGTGGAAATCTAATAGATGTTTCCTGTATTATGTACAGCACTTAGCACCTAAGCTTATTAAAGAGTGCAGGTTGAATAAGTTCTTCCTGAGTGCTGGTCTCAGAGGGCATGTTTGGGACAAGTCAAGATTTCAGGAAGTAGGGCTGGGGAGATAGCTCCGTAGAAGAAGCGCGGTCCTGAGTTCAATCCCCAGTACCGGAAAAAAAAAAAAAAATTCAGGAAGACAAGTCGTGGGAGGTGGAGGAAAATGGGCTTTTTCTAAGAAAGGTTAGGAAACAATGGGGCATTAGCAAACTGAGGTGCATGGGGTAATGTGGTGGTAGTGGTGGGGTGTGTCTCGCAAGCCCCGCCCTGAACCACAGCAGCGGCGAGAAGAGGCGCAGCGCGGTTTGGCCGCTATGGGGCGCCGTAGCCCGCGCTGTTGCCAGGGGAACGGGCCCTGTGCCTGGCGAGGCCCAGCCCGCCTCGGCCTGGCCCGGCCGCTCAGCCATCCTGTCTGACCTGGAGCGGGAGTACTCTTCCGCCCCGCCGCCGTCCGGGATGGGGTTCCGCTCCGGGCCATGCCGCCTCCGGGTCCCGGGGAGCCTCTTTGCCGCCACGGTCTGAAGCGCGACTGCCCCCGGGAGGGTGGACAGCCAGGCGCGGGCCCGAACCGCTGGCGGACCTTGGTAGGGCCGGCCTGGCACGGCCGCCACCGCGCGCAGGTGAGGAGCCGCGGCCGCGTTCCGGAGCCTGGCCTGAGCTGTCGGGTCGCGCGGCTGCCGCCGCCTGACGTGGCTCGGGAATCACCGTGCCCTGGCGGCCTGGGCTCCACCGTCCCTGCAGGCGCGGGGCTTCCTTCAGCGTTCGTCCGCTTCTCAGCTCTACACTAAGCGCCCACTGTGTGCCGGGCGCCTGGCCAGCGGAGGGCTGAGAACAGACGCAGCAGCTCTCCAGAGCCCAGAGAGCATGGGGAGGGTGTGGGGAGCAGGCGCCAGGCACATGACTGAAGTAATTACAGGGTGAGTCAAGTGCTCTGGAGTTGAGGTGGAGGGTCTGGCTTAAAAAGGTGACCTTTAAATTTAAGACCTGGAGATTGGAAGGAAGCCAACAGTGTGATCTGGAAAAGGTGTTTGTGAAAGAGGGAAAAGCAAATAAATACAAACGTCTGGAGACAGTAGAGTACTAGGACGTAACAGAATGAGTGAGAAGAGCCCTTGAAATCCGTGGTGGGCATTGCAATTTTATTCTAGCAGGTCGAAGAAACCGTGAAAGAGTTTTTTTTTTTTGGTTTTTTTTTTTTTTTTTTTTTTTTTTTTTTTTTTTTTTTTAGGCAAGGGTCAACAGGGTGTTCAGGGTCTCACTACCAGATCAGACTCGTAGTGATCTGCCTGTTTACAGCCTCCCCAGAGCTGGGATTACAGGGGCGCACCACTACACCCAGTCTCAATTGCCCTCTCAGGGTGCCCGGGGATGGGGGGGCTGGGGGTGGTGGAGGGTGGGGTGCCGAGGCCCGCCTGGCAGGTCCGGGGATTAAACCCCAGGATTGAACCTCAGAGCTATTTGACCGGCCCTTAAAGAGTTTTGATGAATTTCAAGTTTTAAAAGCTTATCTCGTTCTGGTTGCTGCGGGAAAGTCAGTTGATGGCCATCTTAGTTCTGCCAGTGTAGCTGTGCCTCCTGGAATTGCTTAGTCTCTCTGAGCCTCTGTGCCCTCACCTAAGCAACGGGGATGCTGTTTCCTCATCTAGTTTATGAGGGAGAATGTGAGGGGCCTTCCACATCTGAGACCAACAATTAGACCTATGAAAACAGTTTGAAATGATAGGATCTACCTCAGAGTGTTGTGAGGGTAGAATTAAGTGAATTCCTGGGAAGCATTTAAAGCAAAGCAGTGCCTGGCCCAGAATGCGTGCCCTCTAAATGCTAATGATGGCTATTATTATCATGAAAACACTGTGGGAGAGCGAGGATAGAGGTTTGGATTAGGGTGATGGCAGCAGTTGATGGAAAGAAGTGCTTCGTTTCCTTTGCTCAAGGAAAGCTGGATTCAGATACTGATGAAAGGTGGGCCTGCTTTTGTGGAACTGGTGGTTGGCTGTGGGAGACTGGTCTGTAAACAGATAATCACCACAAGATGCACTAAAAACAACAGTGGTGCTTAATTAGCCAGGTCCTCCTCCCCACCCCCTTTTTTTACTTTGTTCTGTCACAACTTTGTTCTTAATGACTGTTTCTTAGTGGGTTTTCCCCAGGGCTGGCTCCTGCAATCATATGAGTTGATTTCCCTTTAAAATCAACAACCCTTGCCTCCCTTCTTTGGCCTTGTTTCTGTTTCTTGTTCCCCCTCCTTCTTGTCCTTTTTCCTCGACTGAACTTGGATCCCAAACAGTTTGTAGTGGTTGCTGCAAGAGAATGGCACAGAAATGCTTGCACTCTCTGTCAACCCAGGAACTATTGAAGTTTCCAGCTTTTCTTGCCATAGCAACCGACTTTGGCATATTATTTATGAGAAGAAAGTAGGAGTCTAGCCACATCTGAGACCACTGACAAGAGGTCTTTGAGAGCAGATTGAAGTTCCAGTTTATTTTTTGGGAATTATGTAATGTACATCCTTAGAGCCACTTCTTAGAATTTTAAGGCCAGAGATTTTTTTGGCACCTGTGGGGAATTTTAATAATGTACTTGCATCTAAAAGTATTTTATAAGCAACTGTTTTTGCTCTGTAGAACAATGTGCTTCACGAAGCATTTTTTTCTCCAGCTCCCCTTTAGGTAGTTAAAACTAGGCATCTGTTACATCTCAGTGAAACTTATTTCTGAAGCAGATCCTGGGGAAAAAACCCTGAAAACTCCTTTAGAAATACCTGCAGGAAATCTCTCACATGGAAACCATAAATTCTCCAAGAGAAAGAAAGATGCTTAGGAACAAAACTTTCCTGCAGTGTGTACCTCCCCCTGCTATGTTCTGGGGGTGATGGGGCACTGAGCTGGCTCTTGGCTAAGAACTAGCATAGGGTCCTGCCCAGCCTTCTCTTGTGCTGTCTGGGGGTCTAATTCTAGCTTTGACAAGACCACTAACAGTGTTAGGAGATTTTGTGGCTCTTCCTCACAGTTCTTCAGATGAGCAGCTCAGAATTGCTTTCTAGAGTAAGAAAGCACTTAACTAAAAGGAAACATTTGTGTTACATCATTGTTAAGCAGGAATTCCTGGTTTGTCTGGCCTGGTACAGGGTTCTGAATCAATTATCAGTGCATTTGATCCACATGACACAATAAGGTTAGGAGGACAAGAGGTGACACCCCTCAAATTATTTATTTTTTGATATATATTTGTGTGTGTGGAGGGATGTAGCACTGGGGATGAAGCCCAGGGCTTCACAATTGCTAAGTCTGCACTATACCGTTGACCTACATCCCTAGCTCACTTAAAAAATAAAAATAAAAAATAAATAAATACTCAGGTTTAAAAATTCACACAGTGGGGCTGGTGAGATGGCTCAGTGGTCTAAAGCACCTACTTAGAACAAGCTTAGCGAAACACAGGGACCTCGGTTCAATCCCCCAGCACCACATGCCAGCTAGCCCCGCCCCCTGGTGGGCTGAGCTGGCCACACACACACACACACACACACACACACAAATAAATAAAATAATAAAAAAAAAATTCACACAGTACCAAGAGTACACAGTAGAAACAAACCTCTGCCTCACCCCCAAGCCCTTTTGTCAGCCATTATATCTTCCCAGAGGTTGCTACAGTGTTTAGTTTCTTGAATTTTCTTCCCAAGACTCTGCATATGAAAATGTAGTTGTCAGTCCGTTTTTATTCATTCAGTAGCTGTCTTTAAACTGTACATCTTTCTTGTTTACTTTGTGTACTGGAGATCATTTTGGGTGATGACACGTGGCTGTCTGGCTGCTGCTCTGGCTGCTGAGTCAAGAAGGGCACTGAGTTCAAGACAAGCCTGGGCACCTCACTGAGACCTTGTCACAAAATAAAAAATGAAAAGGGAGGCAGACATGATGGTGTGTGCCAGCAGTCTAGTATTCTGGCAAGCTGAGGTAGAAGGATTGCAAGAGCCTAGCTTGGGCAACTTTAATGACTTAGTGAGCCCGTGTCTTTAAAAAAAAGACAGCTCAGTATGAAGGCCCTGAATTCAATCTCTAGTACGATAAAATAAAATCAAGTAAAATACATATACAATGTTAAAAACACTGGGAAGGGTGGCACAGTGGTAGAGTGCTAGCCTTGCATGTGTGAGGCCCTGGGTTCAAGTCTCAGTGTTAAAACAAATATTTCTAGAGTTGGGTGTGGTGATACACTCCTGTAATCCCAGCACTCAGGAGGCTGAGGCAGGAGGATCGTTGTGAGTTTGAGATCAATCTGGGCTACCAAGTGAGCTCAAGGCCAGGTCTAGCAAGACCCTGTCTCAAAAAGACAAAAGAGCAACAACAAAAAACTTCCCTTGCTGTTGATGTTGCAGGGCAACTTGTGCCATAGGGTGTTCATATTTGTTTGTGCCCTTTATTATTACAAACAACATTGCAATGAATCTTAGTGTGATTTGCAAATTTATGTGTCCATCTCTATCATGTGATAAATACCTAGTAATGTGGCATGTTAGAACCAAAGGGTATATATATTCTCAAGTTTGGCAGACATTGCCAGATTACCCTCCAGCTAACTTTTTTTAGCAGGTATGTAAAACAGAGACCCAAAGTAGATCTATGAAGTTTTTTCCTGGATTGTTTGATCTATCTATCTATCTATCTATCTATCTATCTATCTATCTTTCTTTCTTTCTTTCTTTCTAGAAAATAATAGTAAAAAAAAAAAAAAGAAATGATACAGAAATGATAAATCGGAATTCAACAATAGTTGTTATATTGCATATTGTTTTCTTCCAATTAGTTGTTCAGATTACCAGAAAGAAGCATGCAAAATTGGTCAAAAAAGTTATAAAAAACTAAAAAGGAGAGAAAAAATTTAAGTATTAACTGTTTCATACACACACACACACACACACACACACACATTCGTATGATATCCAGGGTCTCACTATGTAGATTGGACTTGTAGCGATCCTCCTGTTTTCAGCCTCCCAAGTGCTGGGATTACAAGCATGCGCCACCATGCCCAGTGCGCCCCAGGGCTGGGGCCAGCACACAGTGTATCAAACCCTGGCCGCTGAGCTCTGCTGAAGCAGGTGCTTTACTCTGCTTTAGTCTGCTGAACTATATCTATATCTATATATCTATATCCATATCTATCTATCTATCTATATATATATGATTAGTATATATTTATCTTATATATCTTATGTAAGTATATCTATCTATCTATCTATCTATTTTTTCTTTTGTCCTTTCTCTCATCCCAGTTGTTCCTTCCCATTGAAGTACCTTTCAGATTTTATTTACTATTTCAGGTTCTTTTTTTTTTTAATATTTATTTATTTTTATTTATAACATTTATTTATTGTGTGTGTGTGTGGCCAGCTCAGCCCACCAGGGGGCGGGTCTGGCTGGCATGTGGTGCTGGGGATCGAACCGCGGTCCCTGTACTTTGCCAAGCTTGTTTCAAGTAGGTGCTTTAGACCACTGAGCCATCTCTCCAGCCCCACTATTTCAGGTTCTTATACCAGCAAGACAATACAATTTTTACATATGTGAGTATAATTAATTTCACTTATGAGTGTGGTTTCTAGTTACATCCATTTACCTATAAAAACCTTGAATTTATCTTTTATAGCTAATACTCCACTGTTTAAAAATACCACATCTTTTTTATCCATTCTTTAGTTAATGGACATTTGGGTTGTTTCTAAAATTTAGCTATGACAAACTACTGTTATAAACATGGGTGCACATATATCGCTGTGGTATGATGTTTTCAGTTCTGGAAAAATACCCAGGAGGGGAATAAATGGGTTGAATGGGACCTCCAATCCTAGCTTCTTTTCTTTCTTTTTTTTATTTAAGTTTTTAAAACTCATTTTAATGAGAAAAAAGATAAAATAGCAAAGAAACAGTTTCAAAACAGGTTAGTAAGACAGTTACAATAATTAATACATTTCATAGTGTTGTCTTCGTATTAGTTATTCAGAGGATAAGATGCAGAAGTGATATCTTGTCTAAACAATATTAGTATGAACCTTTCTTCTCAATCCAATCCTAGTTTTTTTTTTTTTTTTTTTTTTTTGCAGAACCAGGGATTGAACTCAAGCCTTTACGCTTGCCAGGGAAGCGCTTAATCCACTGAACCATCTCCCCACCCCAAATCCTAGCTTTTTGAGGAATCTCCACACTGATTTTCATAGTGGTTGTACCAGTCTATACTCACACCAACAGTGGAGAAGGGTTCCATTTTCCCCATAGCCCTTCCAGCATTTGTTATTGGTTGACTTCTTGATGATATCCATTCTTTCTAGGGTAAAATGGAATCTCATTGTTGCTTAATTTGCATATCTTGAATAACTAATGATGAACACTTTCATATATTTATTTTTCATTTATAGTTCTTTATATGAGAAGTGAATACTCATCTCAGGTGCCCATTTTTTTTAATTGAGTCTTTGAATTTTGGTGTCCCCAGGTTTCTTGATCTATGAGCATCAGTGAAAAAACTACAAAGAGGCTGGGTCTCCAGGCTTAACCCTCTTTCCTGGCTCTAATCTGTTCCTCATTGATGGCTTAGGTCTCTGGGCCCTCCAGTCCCCTATTCCAGCCCTGTCACCTCTTCTGACCCCCTGCATCCTACTGTTCCAGTTCTTGGGTCTTCCTGACGACACTCCTTAGTAGTTGAATTGGTTCTGAAATCCTCAGACATTTTACAGGAATCTAGGGCTGCCTATAAGCTCTGTAAGGCCAGAACTTTACACCCTAGCTTGTTTCCTTTGACAGTGCCACACAGGCATTTTAGACCATTTCTACCTTACTGATTGAATGATTGATTGATTGATTGATTGACTGATTGATTGAAATGGTATCTTGCCATGTTGCCCAGCCTGGCTTCCAACTTCTGAGTTTGATTTTTCTGCCTCAGCCTCCTGAGTAGCTGAGAGTACAAGTGCACATCACTGTACCTGGCTGCTAATTATTATTATTATTATTATTGTTGTTGTTGTTGTTGTTGTTGTTGTTATAATTTTGTACGGAGCAGAGGTGGCAGGAGGGGACGTGAACTATTCATAAAACTGTTCTATTATTCACAATGAAAACTTGAAATCCAAAGATTTCTTTTATTTCACTTAAGCATACAAATTAAAGTAGCTTAACCTTATTTATTTTCCAGGCCTAGAGATTGAATCCATGGGCTTCATACTGAACTACATCCCCAGCCCTTTTTATTTTGAGACAAGGTCTTGCTACATCACTTAAATTGTCTAGGCTGGGCTTAAAATTGTGCTTCTCCTGCATCTGCCTTGGAGAGTCCTGGGGCTTATAGCAAATGACTGTTAAAGAGAATAGATTATTATCCTGTCAATGGCCTTCACCTTGTTAGGGACAAGGAAGGGGTCTGCATAGCCTCTCAAGCCTTCCTCAGAAGCCAGGCATGTCTTTGACTTACCAAGGTCATAACACTCATGGGTTCCTCTTGTTTCTATCTTCCTCCAGTCCTCACCAGACTAACTCTTTGATGTGTTTCTTTGTTTTGCTTTGTTTTTTTGAAATGCAGTCTTGATGTGTTACCTCAGCTGATATTGAACTCATGGACTTAAAATGGTCCTCCTGCCTCACCTTCCTTAGTAGCTGGAACTATAAATGTGTGCCACTGCACCCAGCTCTTATGGTTTGTTCTTTGGAAGCAGAAAATACAGGAAAAATGTTTTCCTAAGGTCCATGACCTCTCAGCCCACCAAAGATACAGCTGGCTAAACTGAATGGGCAGCGTGGAGTCTGTGGGCTTGACTTTCATCCAGCCAACTCCTCCTAGCGCACAGACTGCTGGCTGGGCTGCCACCTTCCTGGGCCAGCCGGCTGTGGTGTCACCTGCCCTACTGCCAAGTCCTTGCCCCTCTTGCTCATGCCCTTCCCATTATGATCAGAAAGCTCTCAGAAAAACTCACTGTGTCATATCCTGCTTTAAACCCAAGCATCTCACCCAGTTTCCTGGGCCTTGTGTGACCTCAGTCCTGCAGCTTCTCAGGCTCATCGCTCACTGGGTCCTGCTTTACTTCCTCCCATCTCTCTGTCTACCCTGTGTTCTGACTCTAACTTGCTGCACCTTCTAAGCACTTCCAAAATGCTCTGGCTGCTTGCTGTTACTATGTGTCTGTCTGGGCCTGGTGTCTGCTCCAGTCTGTGCTTACACCCTCAGAGAACCATGGGGTGGGCCCAACTGAACACTGCTTGGCCAAGGTCTAAGTGTACCAGCTAGCATATGATTGGGGGCAGAGCCACACATCTTTCAATCTGGTATCCCAGAGAAGTGCTGAGAAGGGAGGGGCAATTAGAGAAGTCCTTGGGTCTGGGGACAGTGCTGGGTCTTGTCCATGGGCCTTGAGCCCCATCTTGGATTCTTTCCAACCTCCCATCCTATTAATCAAAATCTTTCAGACCAGAAGAAATTGTGGTCACCAACTCTGTGAAATAAACTCATCAGTTAAGAGTTGGCCAGTCAGGCATTATGGTAAGTTTCTGTAATCCTGGCACTTGGGAAGCTGAGACAGAAGGATTTCTGTGAGTTTGAGGCCAGCCTGAGCTACATAGCAAGACTGGCATGCTTCTGGCCAACTTGGTGTCTGTTTGGAGTGCTGCTGCTGCTGCTTCAAGGCTGTTCTGCCCCATAGTGTCATCTTTTATGTTCAGAGTCTCAGACAAATAGTACCTCTCTGGGCCAGTGGTGTCCTGGCCTCAGATAGTGACTTCTGCCTCTGGAATTCAGTACAGCAATAATAGGGGTTCCTGCAGCCACCGCTGGATGGTGGGGACCTATCAACCATACAGTTCTTTTTCTCTTTGGAAACTCATCCAAGGTTCAGGGCTCTTCAAGCTTGGGGATGACAAAGGGAAAGTCGGGTGGGGGATCTAAATAGTTGCCTTAGCGATGGTATGAAGGACACAGATATTTGCCCACTGGTGGAACCAGCCAGCTCAGGTTTATTCGAATGACTTGATTGATGACATTTGTCTTTCCACAAAATAGAGGCAAAGATTTGCTCCTCTGCGGATACTATAAAAGCCTCTCCAGCTTTTGACCATTCTTGTCACTCTTGGAGGTGACAAGGTTGGAATTACAGTTCAGTAGCCTACCACTTATCATGGTATAGCCCTTGGGACCACTGACTTAAGAAAACAACTTCAATCAACTCCATAAGTTTGGACAGTAAATCTTGTAGATGTCAGGTACAGTAGCCATAGTCTGGAAGTGTGAAGACATGAGAGCTGTTTGAGGGTAATTATAATGTCTACTGTGTAGCACTCCCCTCAACATCAGGGATCCCTTCAGTGTAGCTGTTCTGCATGCCATGCTAGGGGCTATCTCCCCCACTCCCATTTTTCAGAGGAGAAAATTCAGGCCTCTTCGCTAGTAAGAACAGCCAAGAGCCTAACCTAAATCCATTTCCTTCAAAGCTGTTCTTTTTTTCTTGTGTAGCTTCTTTATCCATCTATCTATCTATCCATCCATTTATCCCTCCCTCCTTCCTTCCCTCCCTCCCTCCCTCCCAGGGGCTTCTGCACTGAGCTATATCCCTAGACTTTTTTTTTAAGACAGGATCTCACTAACTCACTAAGTTGCCCAGCTTGAATTTGAACTTGTAGTCCTTCTGGCTTAGTCTCTCAGAGTGCTGTGCAGAGATTATAGATGTGTGCCACCATACCAAGCTTTTGCGTAGCTTTTTAAAAATTTTCCTCTCTATGTATTGCAGGCTCATGGTGATCCTCCTGCCTCAGCCTCCCAAGTACAGGGATTACTCATGTACACCACCACACCTGGCCTGGGTGGTTTCTTATTGAAGACAGGGTAAGCGAACAGAGGACTCCACTTGAGTCTTTGTGTGTGTGTGTGTGTGTGTGTGTGTGTGTGTGTACCAGGGATTGAACTCAGGATCTTGTATTTGCCAGGCAAGCACTTATTCTACTGAGCTATCTCCCCAGCCCTTTCACTTGAGTCTTTGGGAGAAAACTTAAGTTGATTCCATTTAGTTTTATTTATTTATTTATTTATTTATTTATTTATTTATTTGTGTGTGGCCAGCTCAGCCCACCAGGGGGCAGGGCTGGCTGGCATGTGGTGCTGGGGGATTGAACCGCAGTCCCTGTGCTTTGCTAAGCTTGTTCTAAGTAGGTGCTTTAGACCACTGAGCCATCTCACCAGCCCTCCATTTAGTTTTGAGATGAGATTGCCCAGAGGTAACTTCACATATTGCTAAGCTTGGTCTACAGAAGGCTCTGAGCCTCAGGTGGGCTGAAGGGCAGAGTGGTTATGGGTGATGACCCTGTGGAATAGAGGATGCAAGGGGAGGGCTGAGAGCAGAACAGCATGGGCCAGATGGCATCAGGGGGCCCAGGGTTTCACACAACTGACCATACCTATATTTCCTTTTATTTCAGATGCTTTCAAGTCAGCAAACACTTACTGAGCATCTTTTAAGTACAAGGTATAGTCCTGGGTGCATGGGGTGAATGAATCATGGGATATTTGCTGTCTTTGAATGGAGCTGATATAACAAATACACACAAGGATGGCAAAGTGACAGTCATAGCCAGAACTGAGGACAATGAGTCTTGATTGTGCTTGAGATGTCAGGGAAACTTCCTGGGTAACAAGGTGTTTACAGTGGGCTTAAGGAGCAAGTACCCTTATTTTTATTTATTTATTTTTTTAAATGTCTTTGGTATAGGGTCTCACTACACAGCTCAGACTCATAGTGATCCTCCTGTTTTCAGCCTCCCCAGCACTGGGATTACAAGTGTGTACCACCAGGCCCCGTCTTTGGCCAGCTCAGCGTACCTGGAGGCAGAGCCAGTGCAGCATGTGGTGCCAGGGATTGAACCTGGGTCACTGTATTTACCTAAGCAGGCACTTAGCCCACTGAGCTATCTCACTGGCCCTGCCCGTAGCATTTTGTTGGGCTGAAGAGTAAGGTGTTCTAGGCAGATATGCTAATGTGGGCTCTGCCTTTTTTTTTTTTTTTTTTTTTTTGTATTTTTAGGGAAAGGTCTACAAGGTATTCAGGGTCTCACTACTAGATTAGACTCAGTAATCTGCCTGTTTTACAGCCTCTGCCATGCCTTTTTTTGATTTTTAGAAGGGGGTTCTGAAAGGAGAGTTCACCTGCCAGGATTTTGTCCCTAGGACCAGGCCTTCCCACCAGGAGCTCAGAGCTGGCCCCTCTTTTCATTGTGGCACTGTGTCCTTGGGCCTCACTCCCTTCTTGGGCCCAGAAAGTTACTGGGTTGGTGGGGGGCACTTCCTCCTATGAGGAAAAACTCATTCCCTGTGGCCTGCATGAATCCTTGGCCACCAGCCAGCTGTTGGGCTGAAGGGGGTAGATTAGATGAGGGGGTAGATTAGATGTGGGGAGTGGCTGCCATCTCTGGTCTGGCTCTAGCCATGTCCTAGCCTTTCCCTGAGCTCATTCAAGTGAATCAAAGGACATTAGCCCACCTTTCTGTGTATTATCTATACAGCAGGCCCAGATTATTTACTTAGATAAACATGGTCATTTCTGCTTCTGGAAGGAACCAAAGAGGGACCCTTCCTACCCCTTGTGTGGTGGCTCTTTCCCAGCCAAGAAGCCTCAGGCAGCCCCTTTGAGACACAGGAGAGAGAGGTCTGGAGTTCTCAGTCCTAAAGGGATTATGTGTCTGCTGATGGACAGGGTCCAGATTCTCTTTCTCAGCACCCCGCTCCCCATTTCTCTTAGCAGAGGATAAGGGGCCCTGCCTGACACATGTATTTGGACCTCAAAATCGAGCTGACTAATCCTAACAGAATCAGCATGTGTTCTCATCGTTCTGGCTCCAGCATGATATTATTACCAGATGAGAACATGTCTTATTGAGTTTCACTTTGATGGCTCTGGAGACAGAGCACTTTGAGTAACAGGCAGCCACACTGTGTCCTGAATAAACCCTGGACCCTCCTACCTTGTCCTGGCCAGGCTGGAGCCAGAGCTTGTTCTGGGGCTCTGGAACAGTTTTCCCCCCACTGCCCGTCTCCATTGATCTAGGGCACAGGTCCCCTGAAGTATAGCTGGAGGAAGCTTCCTATGCCAGTCTGCTCTTAATGCTAAAACCTGGCTACAGGCTTGGGTCCTTGGGCTGCCTTCTGGGCCTCCTCAGGCTGATGCTTTCTACTCTTTTCTCCCTCTGGAGATGAACATCTGCAACAAGCCCTCCAACAAGACAGCCCCTGAGAAGAGCGTGTGGACAGCGCCTGTGCAGGCCAGCGGACCCTCCCTGGAGCTGCAGGGCCAGCGGTCCCGCCGGAATGGGTGGAGCTGGCCCCCTCATCCACTTCAGATTGTGGCCTGGCTGCTGTACCTCTTCTTCGCAGTGATCGGCTTTGGGGTCCTTGTTCCCCTTCTGCCTCACCACTGGGTGCCAGCTGGATATGCTGTATCCTTGGGAAAGTAGGCCCATGCATGGAAGATGGGGCAGTAGAAGGTGGAGGCCTGCAGCTGGGCTCAGGGACTCAGGGTGGGGCAGAGCAGGGCTGACTCAGTCTTCCTGTCCTGGCCTCTAGCCCCCCACCTGACCCCTCCTCTGATAGGGCAAGGCTCAGCTCTGAAGTGCCATGGATCTTACCAACTGAGGTATTACAGGAGCCATTAGAGAAGAGAGCATTAAAGTTTTAAGCTTCTTCATGCTGATTGTGTCCAGAGCTAAACAAATGGCAAACAAGGGAGGAATTATTCTATTTGTGAATTTGTTATGGTACAATCCTTTTACATAGGATGTTTCCTGGTACATCTAAGATGTGGTTTTACTTATAGACAGATTATTGTGGTATACACAGAATTGTTCACAAGATGACTGATCTTGCAAATCAGACCCTTTAGGGTAACAGTGATTGTGACAAGAGATGGCAGAGTTGCCTTGGGAGCCCCTGGAAACAGTGACAAGTGCAGACTTAGCTTAGTGGTATGACTGCCCCAACCCTGGCCACTGCCCCATAAAGCAGAGAATGTGACTGCAAAGCTGGGGCCTTAGGTATAGCAAACCTCGCTATGCTGCTGTTGAGAGTTCCTATGAGAGCATCCTCCCTTGTGCTCTGTGGAGAGGACTGATGGGCAAAGGAGGACAGAGGCAGGCCTGAGGCAGGGCAGAGAGTCAGCAGCTCATTGTGGTCCCAGGTCAGCCCCTCAGGATTGTGCAAGGCTGAGAAGCTTCTCTAGCTCTGTCTGTGCCTTTTGCTGTCTGTGGGCAAGAGTTCTGCTTGCTTGCAGGGGCAAATGGGGCAGAGCACCAGAGGCATAACGTATTAATGTGAGCATGCTTTCTTGGGAGACTACAGGGCCTGGGCTACTGAGTGACAAGAGCAGGTAAATGGAGAAGATTATGAGAAGATTCTTATATTCATTTACCAGCCATGTCCTTGGTGGCTTCCTGGCTCACAAAACCCAGGGCTGGTCATCAGCTCTATGAATGGAAGATGAAACTTTCTCTGAGGAGACTAATAGGGTTTAGGTAACTAAGTGGAATGGCTCATGGGACATTCTTCCTATGTTCTGGAGTATATATATCCTTCACTCAGGATTGCTTGGATTTCTGCTATCAAGGTACCTGGGAAATCACATTAATAATTGTGTTGTTTAGTCAGAGAAAATAACAGTAAACAAAAGAAACTGGCATTCATTGAACACTTAATGTGTGCCAGGCACTGTTAGTCACTTTATAAGGATTATCTCATTTGATCCTTATAGTAATACTGTAAGGGATGTAGTTCTCTAATTTACTTATGGAGAAACCAGGGCTCAGATAGGATAAGTGACTTCCTGAGCTACTCAGGGCAGAAGGGCTGCTCAGACAGCCTGACTGAGGCAGTGGGATAGTTTGCAGGGTTGATCTTACCCACACGTCACTGTCCATATCCTTTGGCCCATGTAGAAGCTGCCTATCTGTATGGTTCTTTTCATCCGTGTCTCCTTCTTTCTGTAGGCTCTCTCAGGGTCCCTAAGGAATGAGGTAGAGTAGGAATGTGTGCAAAGTACTCACTATGGCCTGGAACTTGCCTGGGCCTGGGATGCAAAGTTGAGCTCGGTGCTCAGTGGCTGGTAGGAAGAAAGGCAGGTAGGTTGTACATGGTGTTCCCACCACATAAGTATGGGGCAGGAGCCCAGGCAGCAGGCTGTGGGGACAGAAGGGCATTTTTACCAGTCTCACTCTGCGTGCAGAAAGATACCTGCTATTCACAGCTCCCCTGTCCTCTATGCCCAGCCTCTCCCCACATCTTAGCCGCTTCCCTTTTTTCTATTGCTGATATCCACCTGGTCCTCAAATCCTATTGATTTTACTGCTTTAATAATTATTGAATTTCCCTGAGCCTCCCCCAACCATCTGATTGTCTGGGCTAGGTGACCATTTAGTTTCTAAGGAAGTCTCCCCTGTGCATCCCTTACTCTTAACCACAGGAATACAGGCAGAGTGCATATTCAAAAAGAAACCTAAAGCTGGATGTGGTGACATGTCTATAATCCATAACCCCAGCATTGGGTAGAACTGGGAGGCGTGAGGGATAGGGGGTTCAAGGCCAGCCTGGGCTACATTATAACACCTTATCTCCAAAAAATAAATCAAGGGGTCTGGGTTATAGTTCAGCTGCAGAAGACTCATGGAAGGTCCTTAATTCCATTCCCAGTACCCCCCCCAAACAAAATAAAACAAAACACCAAACCAATCAACCAGCCAACCAACAATAACAAAAACAAATCTGATAATGTTCTAGTGGCTCAAGACTATCCAGTGGGCTCTTCCTGTCTTAAGGGATGAGGTTGAAGATCCTTATATAGTCAAGTCTCTCTTAAGTTCTAGACTCTGCCTCTCTCCCCAGCATCCTCTTACATTATTTCCTTTGTTCTCCTCTGTTTTGGCAACTCTACTTGGAAACGCCTTATCTCTCCCCACCCTCACCCAGTTGAGTCAGAGGTCAAGAACTAGAAGCCCATGGGTTAATTTGGTCTGTAGACGTTATGAAAATTGAGGGGGCTGGGCATGATGGCACATGGCTCTAATCCAGGCATTATAGGAGACTTAGGCAAAGGAATCACAAACTCAAGCCTAGCTCAGGCATTTGAGCAATTTAGATCTTATCTTGAAAAAAAAAATATCTGGGGATGTAGCTCAGCATGAAGTGGCTGATTTCAGTGAAGGGATCATTAACATACAGAAGCATAGATCTATGGATGCATTTTTAAAATTGTGTCACTAACATTTAAACATTGAGAGAGTTCATGTAAAAACCTAGATTTCTATTTCCTTTTGAAAACCAGAATTCAGTAACATGAACCCTTACTCTTGCATGGCAGCAATGAGATATTACTGCCCCTCTGGTTGGTGTCTCACATGTTCCCAGTCACCATAGCACCCAGCTAGGCCCCCCTCTCCCATGTGACTTGTCACTGCCCTGTTGTCTATTCCTCTCTGAGTCTCAGCTGTGATGATGCTTCCTCAGGGAAGCCTTCCAGACTCCTTCAAACCAAATGAGGTCACTCAGTCACAAAACTACACTCTCCCCTGGGCTTTCTTCATGTAATTAATCTGTTATTTGATTAAGATTTCTGCATTTCACCAGCCTGTGGGCCTCTCAGGGCCGGGAACCATATCTGTGTACCCTCTGCCATACCCCCCAGTGCTTGCACAAAGACTTCAGTAAACAGTTGAATGAATGAACCAGGAGGGTGCAGGGAGAAGTGTTGGAGTGGGCAGGAAGGTAAATGTTTACCCACCTTGATTGAGTGTTTAAGAGAGACCAGAATGGTAAGATAGAGTAGTTGGAAGTACTGTAGAAGTTTGAAAGGAACTTAGTGAATGCAAAAAAGGCCTTGGCCCTTAACTGAGGCATGAACTCCACATGGAGACCTGGAGAGCCATCAAGAGCCACTGTAGGAATTTAAGCAGGAAGGGTCTTAAACTTTTAAAAGCTCCTTCTGTAACTGTCTGTGGGCAGATTCAAGGGCACACAGACAGGAGAGGCAGAGTCAGGAGGCTCTTATTTTGAGTGACCCAGGCAAAAAGTGAAGATCTAAACTGTGGGAGTGGCCACAGGGATAGAGAGATCAGTGATGGCTGTGGTTTGTTTCTTTTTGGCTATATACAACACAGTAGGGTGGGGCCTGTCTCATGCAGAACTATGGAGGGATTTGAGGGGGCGGAAAGTAGGTGATGGGTCAAGGATGGAGGCAGAGTGCTGAGTGGAGCTGGAACAATGAAGGGATGCTGTCTTCCTGGCTAGCAAAAGGATAGATCGATGGTCCTGGGTAGGTGGAGAAAGGGAGAGTAGGTGCTTGCCTGGGTGAATTTTCATATAATCAGACTTTGCAACAAGTTGTCAGCATACTCATCTTTTATACTGACTCAGTCACTGAGCACTTAGGTCCTGAAGAGCTGCATTTCAGCTCCAGGAGTGAGCCATGCGGTCCCTGGTCGGGCCATCCTGGATACCCATCTCAGCACTCCAAGTGCCTGAGTTGAGGCTGGGGAGGTAGCAAGTAGATGAGCCTGTCTGAAAGTGATTTTCTATTTGGCTGGAGCTACTGAGGGGGATGGCTGCTTCATTCTAGAGCTGACTTCCTGTGAAAGCAAAATAAATAAGCTCATAACTTAGAACTTCAGGTCTGTGACCTTAGGGGCTGATGACTTTCAGTCCCACTTTATCACCTGGAACTGAAAACACAGGCCTGAGGTGAGAGCAGCTAGAGCCTATACCAAGACTGAAGTATTGAAACCAAGATCCTGTGGCAGCTTGTTGGGGACAGAGTAAGCAAAGATGGCTTGGGAACTCCATCACAGATGGCCCCTATCTCTGGTCTTCCATTTGGGGTACAGGGATCCGCCAAAAGCTGATGAAACGGCTCATGGGGGTGAGAGGCAAAAAGTGGCACGGCAGACCTTCCATAAAAGGAGTCATGGAGGCAAGGTGTTCTTTGGCCACTGAAAGCATGCAGGGCTCCCAGCCAGCAGTGTGGAGTGAGTCTTTAACTTGCTGGGCCAGTGCATGGGCACCATCTTTGTTGGCCACCTTGTGGTACACCTGACTGCAGTCTCCATTGATCCAGCAGATGCCAATGTTCGGGACAAGAGCTATTCAGGGCCTCTGCCCATATTCAACCGCAACCAGCATGCACATGTCATTGAAGACCTGCACTGCAACCTGTGCGACGTGGATGTGTGAGTGCATGTGTGAGTGTGAGTGCACAGGCACATGTGGATCATAAGCGTGCCTGGGGGTCTCCTAGGAGAGTTCATGGAAAAGAGGGGTGTGCCAGGGCTTCACAGTCATCTCGATACCTTAGAACCCTCATGTTTTACAGTCAAGGGTCTTACTGAAGTTATAAGAACTGATCTCTGTGAAGGTGAGGAGGTGATTGGAAATAGATGAGAAATGGCATTTCCAACAGTTAAAGTAAGAGACATTTGACACTTCCACAGACATCGCTAGGGGTTATCTTCCAGTGACATCCCACATCTCTCACAAGCACTCAGGTAGGGGTGGGTGGGGATAGAGGTGTGAGTGCTCTGCTGAGTACTGTGCACAGCGGGGGAAGAACCCACCCTTTGGGAAGCTGGGAAGTGGCCCAAAGTCACACAGCTCAGCTACTGAGTGGCAGAGGCAAGATCGCAACTGGCTGCCTGGCTTGTGGAGATGCTTGGGTATCCTTGGAAGCCCAAGAAGGCTGAGTGGCTTGCCCCAAGCCACATGGCTAGTGAGAAGAGGAATCAGAAAATGAAGCACTCCTTCTTCTTAGGGGGATCCCAGTGCTCTCTAGGGCGCCTTGCCCTTCTGGAACATCCCTATCTCCCAACCTCTGTGAGGAATAAAGGAAGGAGTGTCACCCGAGGCCAGCCTCACACTTGGAGTCTGAAGGTCTAGGCAGGCTGCTAAATGGGTCTGAGCACAAGAGCCAGAAAGCCCACAGCAGTAAGGGGTGCTGGGGGCCTGGACACTGGGACATGCTACGATTCCCTAGGCTCCAGTCAGCACATGATTCTGAGTGGCTTCTCTGGCAGTTGCTGCCCACTTCAGGGCTCTGGCTATTGTGGAGCAGGGGTCGTGGCCCACTTGTCCACACTCCTTTGGGCTTTCCCTGGTGCTTCCTGGGAATGGAAGCCCTCCCCTCAACTGACTCCTTGCGGTGAGCTGCCTTAGTGGCTGTGCGGGTAACAGCTGGATTCTCTCTCGGCTCCTTTCTGCTATCCCAGACAGATTGAGGTTTTCTGGAAAGCTGACCTTAACAGGGAGCTGTCATGGAGATACACACTTCTCCCGGCTTCATCTCTATCTTCTGACCTGGCTGAGGGGATTTTGGTTAGAAAGGAAGATCCTCTTCCGTTTTAGATGATTGTCACATCGCCGCACAGTTCCAGAGCCGCCCACAGTTGCCGCCCGTCCCTTCTGCGTCCTGCCAGCAGTTCCTAAGCACCGCCTCCTTTAAGGACCCCTCCCTTGAGTTCCGCCAGAGGGCGCGCGCGCTCCTCCTTGGATGGATGTGGGTTGTGGGTTCCCCGGCTTGGAGCTGATGCTGCTATACAGACCACTGCGCGCCCTGCTTGGTCCGCGCGGCTATGAAGGCCAAGATGGGCTGGCCGACCGTGTGGTGCCTTCCACCCTGCAGGAGCGCTCGCTCCAAGCACTGCAGCGCCTGCAACAAGTGCGTGTGCGGCTTTGACCACCACTGCAAATGGCTCAATAACTGCGTGGGCGAGAGAAACTACCGGTGAGCAAGGGCCAACGGTGGGTCCTGGGAATGTGGGATATGCAGCCTGTTTGTATGGGATGGGGGTGAGTATTTAGAGGGCCTGGGCGCTGGCGTGCATCTGTGTATACTGCTTGCTCTGAGAGGGTGATCCATGGGTTTAGAGTCTTCCACCATGCTAGTCCAGAGACTAGCAAGACCACCCATCCTCAGTTTTGCCCTGTGACTTTGGCTTCAAAAGAGTTCGGGGTGTGGGGTCAGGGTCCAAGCTCTTCGTCCCAGCCGTGGGCCCCTCTGAACTCCTGGCTCTTATTAAGCTGGAGCTCCTGGGCGCTGACAGCTGCCCATGGTTGGGCCAGACTCTTTCTACACAGTGTGGCATCTGCTCTACTGGGTGTCCTGCTCCTGGTGCTGGTGGCCACTTATGTCTTTGTAGAGTTCTTTGTCAACCCTATGCGGCTGCGTACCAACCAGCACTTTGAAGGTCAGTGAGTCCCAGCTCTTCCCTTACCTGGCCTTTTGTAGTCACTGGTCCCAACCCTGGCTGAGCACAGTCTGCCTGTGCTTTTCAGTCCTCAAGAATCACACAGATGTGTGGTTTGTGTTCTTGCCCGCTGCCCCTGTGGAGACCCAGGCTCCTGCCATCCTGGCTTTGGCTGCTCTGCTCATCCTTCTGGGCCTGCTCTCCACAGCCCTGCTCGGCCACCTGCTGTGCTTCCACATTTATCTCAGTAAGTGCCTCCTCCCCCACGCTGCCTAGTAGGAAATAGGGGTTCCTAGATGGCAGGGAGAAACTGCATTGGTTGGTGGGGCCATGAAACCATGCCCTTTATCAGTGCTGGTTCTTGGGTGCCCGATCTCATCCCATGGCTTAGTACATATGGAAACACAGAGGTTGCCTTTTGGGAGCTGGGTGCCTTCTTCCCTGTTCTGAGCTCTGAGATTTCCTCTCCCCCGCTGAGCGCTCTCCTCCCTTCCTACCAGTGTGGCACAAACTCACCACCTATGAATACATCGTGCAGCACCGCCCACCACAGGAGGCAAAGGGGGCCCAGAGGGAGCTCGAGTCATGTCCCACCAAGATGCGGCCCATTCAGGTATACAGGTGGCCCAGAGGGCTGAGGGGGTGGGAGATGGGCCTGGGTGTGTGTGTGTGTGTGTGTGTGTGTGTGTGTGTGTGTGTGTGGAGGGGTTGGGCTGTGCAGAAAAGCCAATGAAGGGACATGGCAAGGGAAGCAAGCCTGGAGAGGCAGTAGAGTAGGGTATGCTGGGAAGTAAGGGACATGCCAGCAGCATGGCCAGAGGGAGCCCTGCATTTCTGCAGCCTCATGTATATACCTGTCAGGCTCTAGGCATGTGCTACGGAGAGTGGAATGTGAGAGCCTAGGAGCAGGCAGGGTGAAATTGCAGAAAAGAGATGAATCAGCGATGGTTAGCAGTTGGGTGGTTACAATGGAGTCGTGAGTTTCTGCCTCTGTGACCTTGAACTTCCCTGCCAGTTGCCCTATTTATCCTTAGAAGAGCCCAGGAGGCAGGTATTACTAACCTACATTACAGCTAATCACATTGAGGCTGAGAATGGTTAAACTGAAGCCTGGTCTGGGAAGCCCTAGGGATTCCGTACACCAAAGCACAAACCCTCCAACCCAGCTGCTGGCCAGCCTGTCCCCATTCCCACGCCTCCTGGCTTCCTAAGGTCAGCAGCTGGGGGTGGAGGTGATCCAGTCTCAGAGCCCCTGGGACTGGGAAGGCAGGGGGCCCAGGCAAGCTTTCCTGGGAAGGCTGGACCCTGGATGCCAAATCCTCATGGCAACTGGACACAAACACAAGCTGGTGGGTGGAAGAGGGCTCGGGACCCCGCCTCTCCTGTTCTCATTGCCAGGCTCAGGGGTGCTGATGGTGGGGACCCTCCTGCCACACTACCATACACCTGCTCCGGTGCTGGGCACTGACCTGTGTAAACACGGTGGCAGCGTCCTGGGCAGTAGGTGTCAGGCCTATCCCTGCATCACAGAGGTACACAGAAGATTTTTTAAAGCTTTCCTAGCTGTGCCCATTGAGTCAGGAATGGCCTTGGCGGCCCACACTTCAGTGCCTGTGTCCTTGCCTCCTGTAGGCTTTGGGGCCAATTGTGGCAACCACAAGGACATTTCTCTGCTATCCATCTGCAAGTGAATTGAGGGATGTCTACCAGTAGGATCCAGTGCTTCTCTGCTTTTACAGAAGGCAGAGTAGAGGTTGAGGGAGATCCCAAAAGACAACTGTGAGGAAAGGAGAGTTCTGAGTGGGGACCAGCTAGTGACACTTTTAAACCTCTTCAGCTGGGTAACTCCTGGCTCCTTTTCTGTTTTGAAGCCCAGGGGTTTCAGGGTTGGTATTTTTATACCCCTACTCCCAGGCCCAGGAGGGGTGCTCAGTCCAGACTGGGGAAAGGAAAAGATGGGGGAAGCTGGGGAGTGCAGTGGTGCACACCTGTAGCCCCAGCTACTATAGAGGCTGAGGCAAGAGGATCATGAGTTGGATGGAGGCTAGCCTAGGCAACATGAAGATTCTGTCTCTGAAATAGAAAGACAAGACAGGGGAGAGTTTTCTTGAGGCCCCAATCTGACTGGCCTCTGCCAAGTGAGCTCTTCCACAACTCTTCCCCCAAGGGTCAACTTAGGCAAAAGTTGGGCACAGGGCTTGCCTGGGGCCTCTGTCTTTGCACCTGTGCTGCCAGTTCCCAGTGGTTGGGCTCTGTCCCAGGTCCTCCAGATCCGCCTGGGCTCTGGCAGGCAGCCTCCCCACCCCTACCCAGCAGGAATGCAGGAGGGGCCCCTCTCTGGAGCCGTTGCCCCCAAACATAGGCTTGTTTTAGAGACGCGTTGCTGTTGTAGTGTCCTCTCTACATTACTCAGGACACCTCAGTCTCCATGGAAACCGCTGCTGAGCGAGTGGTGACAGCTGTCCCGGTGGTGCTCCCTTCTGCTTAAGGCTCTGGCCCTGCCCCTCGCCCTCTGTGCCACGCCCTGCTCAGCCTGCTTTTCCTGGCCTTTGCTTTTGTTTCCTCACCTGCAGTTCTCACCGGTGGAGCTGGGGCACGTCCGAGTTTGGTGGTGCAGGTCTGCCCTCTCTGGCTGCCTCCCAGCCTCAGGATCCTCTGCTTTTCTGGGTTGGGTTTGCTGCCCCCATAGTCATTGTGAAGGCCTGAGTCTGCTGCTGCCTGGAGGCCTAAGAGGCTATTTGTTCCATCCATTCTTGCCTTCCCTTTCTGGATAGAGGAGTGGGAACCCACCCCTTCCAGTAGCTGGGGTTGTGGTCAGTCCTGTGTGAGAACAAGGGTGCACACTGATTTTTCTGAGCAACTCTGTGATCTCCCAGCCAGAGATAGGCCAGGAGCAGGCAAGAGAACTCTGAGCTCTTCCCTGCCAGCCCCTTGGCTGAGTAGCACTAGCCTGGGCATTTTTGGACTCATAGTCTGGAACCTTCCTGGAGTAGGTGGAGTTTTGACTAGATAACATGAAACCTATGGATAGAGTAGGGTCCAGAAATGGGTGTTTTGTTTTTTCTTCCTGGTACTGGGGATTGAACTCAGGACCTTGTGCTTGCCAGGCGGGAACTTATGCCACTGAGCTATCTCCCCAGCCCTAGAAATGGGTGTTTTAAGCCTCACTCTGCAGGGGGATGGTCCCTGTTCATCTGGGAAGGGAGAAGACAGTCCTAGACCCTGCAGTGAGGCTTTCAGATCTCCCTTTGAGAAAACTTCCAGACTAGGTTTGGCTCAGCATTCAGGAGGCTCTGCATCTGCACCTGGCCTTCCGGTTTCCTTCACCCTCACCTTCCCCAGGAGATGGAGTTCTACATGAGGACCTTCAGCCATGTGCGCCCAGAGCCCCCTGGCCAGGGCAGGCCAGCAACAGTAAATGCTAAGTGAGTGCTTCTTGGTCATGTGCCATTTGGGCATCTCCCATTAGCATGACAGGGCCATGAGAGGTGGGAGTAAGAGGGTAGACCAGGGCTAAGGTATGGGTCTTGTCCCTCTCCGACCTCTGCTAGGAAGGGACTTCTAACAGGAAGAGATTTGGGAAACAGCACTCAGAGTTTGTCCTGCTTTTCCCTCAGCCCCTCCCGATTTCTTGCCACTCAAGATCAAGTGGAACCTTCACGGCCCTCCTCCCCCAACACTCTAGCCCTGCCACCTGCCATCCGACCCCAGGTAGGAGGGATGGAGCTTGGTCCTCTGGCCCAGTGGAGGGAGATGGGAAGGAATCCTCTACAATGCTGACTCCTCTACTACTTTTGGCATCGTGGTGTTTGGGGAAGTCACATTCAGCCAACCCTGTTATTTCTGCAGAAAAAAAGGAAGCGATGTAGGTATAAGGTGCCGAAGTCTGGGATCTTGGATCAGGAGTCCCCACTACCCAAGTTGCGGGGTGAGCACTCCTCCCTGTTGGGGTCTTATTCTTGGAGCTTGAGAGAGGGAAAGGCAGAGGCTGGAGCCACAAGCCCTCCTCCTTCCTTCCACGGTGCAGGACCCCGGGTCCCTGACCAGCGCTCAAGCTCATCCACCGATAGCTCCAGTGCCAGCCCGGTGCACGCAGCTGGCCCAGCAGATGCCTACCACTCTGCATCAGCTGAGTCCATGGACGAGATTCCAGTGGCGCAGACGCGCCTAGGCAGTGCCGCCCTGGCTGCCCCTGGGGGGCGAGCTGGAGAGCTCGGCCTGGCGCTGCAAGCGCGTGCGCCCTCAGTGTTCGTGAGCCCCAGCAGCGGCGAACCTGGGTCACTGGGTGGCAGTAAGGGCGGCCGGCCTTAAATGTGCTGAGAGGCAGGAGGGTCCAGGAGGTGGAGCAGCCGGCCGCACTCTATGCAACAATCCACCCTCGCCGCACCTAGTGCACTTTAGGGGCCCCATGGCCGGCGGGATCGACCTCCCTCGTCCACAACTTGGCAATATCCACCTCACCGGCCCTAATGCTCCAATAAACTTTTTTTATGCTTTTGCGGATTTGCTGCTTGCTTTCTTAATGGCAAGGGCCATGGGCCCTCCGGAAGCTGAACCATTGCCAATCCTGCCTGAGGCAGGGTAAGGTGTGTCCCTGTTCAGTAGGGGACTGCCTGGATTGACCCATGGAGATGCTCCCTATAGGGCCCATGGTTGGGAAAGGCCCTAAAAAGCTTCCTGAGGAGATTGCTTTTCTTATAATGGGATTTGCACCTGGGAGACATAGGGGGCTGGGGGGGGGGAGAGGAAGATGGGGCAGACAGGCTCCGGAGGTGATGGGGGCTGCGGGCAAGGTGGAAATGAAAGCTGGGCGCCGACTTTTGAGTCCCAGAGCTTTCTCTTAAAAGCGCGGTTACTGTCAGGGCACCTGCTGTAGGACTGGGCAAGTGTGAGTTATTCAGTGTCCCCCTCCTTCTGCATCTGACCGAATCTGAACCCTACCGGGAGAACGTGAGAGTTGTGGATGGGGATATCATACATTCAGCGGTTGGCTGTGGTCCTGAGCCAGCTGTCAAGGAGGAAAGGTATGTTTATGGCCTCCAGTTGGTTCGGGGAGGCTGGATCTCCTCCGCAGGTTGGGGGCCCGCTTGAGCTCCGGACGGAGCCTGGGGTGGGGGACTTTTCTACATGGAACCACCGAAGATGTCGAGAAGCACAAGGCACCCTTCTAGTTTTGCAGAATGCATGGTGAGGCTGTCGCTGAGCCCGGCGGGGGCAGAGGGTGGTGCCTGGTGGGCGGAGCCAGCGTGACCTTGGTCACTCTCCCGCCGAGACAGCCTGGGGGCGGGATTCGCCGTCTCTATAGAGACCGAGAAACAGGGGATAATACTGTGGAGCCGCCCTGGCTGCAGTCCCGCCCCGGAGCCGGCAGGGAGCGGAGCTGCGGAGCTGCTTGCTCTCCCGCATCCATCCGTCTGTTCCTGTGTCTTTCTGTCCATCTGAGCGCACGCTGCGGGAGCAGCCACGATATTGAAGCCGGTAGGAGACCCGGACGCCGACCACCCTGATCAGTATCCTGCACAAATAGGGGTGGGTGGGAGCGGCCTGAAAGAGGTCCCAACCCCGGATGGTACAGAGCCGAGGACACCAGCTGAGAGGCCCTGCCGCTGCCCCAAGCATTCCTCCCTACTCCCCAGCCCCCACCTCCCTACTCCCTTGATTGATGACTCCAGCTGTCCCAGCAGGAGCAGAGGGGTGGCCTCGGTGGCACCATCCCTGGCTACCCTGGGCTGCAGACCCCTGGCTGCTTTCTGTAACTCTATTCCACCTGAACAGCCCAGAGACCAAGAATCCATCTTCCCACAGACAGGAGTGAGCACTGTACCGAGGAGTCTCCCAGTCCCTGGAGACAAGCATCCTGTGGTACCCAATCTCCCCTGGACAATATTATGCTTGGTAATCTGAGTGTAGGGCGTTGGGCCTTTGGTGGGAGGGTGCACCTAGGGAGAGGGAAGGGGAGTAGTGCCAGTTAGAAGTCCCTGCAGTTTAAAGATAGGTGAGTGTGGTCACCAGGAAGGGGCTTTTAGTGTCAAGGCCTGTGGTAGTGGAAGAGGGGGAGCTAGGTAGGGACCCAGGCTGTGGTCACTGGAGGTTTTTCTATCAGAGCCAGCAATAAAGATGGTGGCTGAGACAGGGTGTGGTCAGGAGGCTGCAGTGTGTTTGTGTGGTCACTGGGTCCCAAAATGCCAATGTGCATGTTGGGTGCTTGGGGGGCTCCATTACAGGGCAGAGTGAGCAGACGACAGCACCCTCAGGTGCTGAGGGTGTGGTCAGAACATGATAAAGGTTGCTACATCGCTGGGTCTGGCTAGAGGGTCTCAGTAAGGGCTTTAGGGTGTGGGCAGGGAGGGTGCAGTGGGCTGCCGGTGTGGTCAGGGAGCCCTCAGTGCCCAGGCTATGTTCCTGGCGGAGGGTGTGGTCAGGGAAGTGCAGGAGGCCTATGGGCATGGGGTACTTGTCTGCAGGGCTGAGGGTATTACTGGAGGATACCCTCAGCAGGTCTTCTGGAGTCTGTGCAGGGGTGGGAGCTAAGGGAAGGGTCAGCTCTTAATCCTGGGACTGTGGATATGGATGGGGAGTCACAGTGCACGGCTGTGAGTATGGTCAGGGGCCAAGAGTGTGGAGGGCTGGAGCTGTGTGCATATGGTTTGTGGGAATGCGAACTCATGTGGTCATGCTCAGGGTGTGGTAGGGGACCTCAGTAGAGGGCTGAGGTATAGATGGGGGGGCACGTGTTTCAGTGGAGGATCACAGCACCAAGGCCATGGTCCCATTTTGCCAGCCTGCCTCTTGGGGTTGGTTACTTATTCTACAAACTCCACCCAGGTTACCCCAGATCTCCTGCTCCGCCTAAACTCCATAGACTGGGAGGCTGCAGACCCAATGGATGGCAAGGGGCCAGGAAACCACAGTTGTGCCGTAGGCGCAGGGAGTGCTGCTTTGCTCCACCCATGGGCTGCTGCTCCCTAGCCCAGCCCAGCCCAGCCCAGCAGCACTGGGAGCTTCTCCCTGAGCCACCCTGACACCATCCTGCCCTTAGCAACATTCTCCAAGCAGCACCACCCTCCCTTAGCAACTGTCTCCAGGCTTCACAAACTGTGGCCAGGCCAGCCCCAACCTCCCGCTCCCCTCATGTTTTTGTTTAACAGCAAATAGTAACAAGGTCCTGGCTGGGCCAGCTGCACCCCTGCCTAAGACACACGCGTCTGCCTATGCTCTGTCTCCCTTCTCAGGCCTACCTTGGGCCTTGCTGGGTCTCCATGACCCTTACGGAGACACTGTCCCTCCCCAACCAGCACCCTGGCCCTGGTCCAGCTTGGTGTAGAACTTAAGAGGGAGGGGGGCCTGCTCTGCTACCCTCATTTCCACCCAAACAGGCCTTGTTCCAGGGACAGACAAAGCCATGTCCCAGCTGCTGCCCTCATAGTCTTTCTGGACAGTGCCACTCTGTTCCCAGCCTGGTGTGGACATCATGATTTCATCTTCTAACCCTACTCAGAGCCAGGGCTGGCACTGACAGGACATTTCCTCCCAGGACTCTTCCCCAGTGTCTGGGGCCCAGGTAGATAGATATGCAGCACTCCCCCTCTCCAGGCAGCTCTAGCACCTGGTGTGTTCTGGGCTTTTGGTGAGGGAAGGGAGGTTGGCTTGGAGGTGACTGAGGTCGGTCCCCACAGGGTGGCATGGCAGCAAGCACAGATGTAGCTGGGCTACAGGAGAGTTTCCGCAAGTTTGCCATCCATGGTGACCCCAAGGCAAGTGGGCAAGAGATGAACGGGAAGAACTGGGCCAAGCTGTGCAAGGACTGCAAGGTGGCTGATGGAAAGGCTGTGACAGGGACGGACGTTGACATCGTCTTCTCCAAAGTCAAGTGAGCCCTAGGCAGATCCTGATTCTCATGTTCCCAGAGGGTGGGATGCTGGGGTTGGACCAGGGAGGACATGGAGAAGAGAGAACACTCATGATGCCCATGTGCCTGGCAGGGGGAAGTCAGCTCGGGTCATCAACTATGAGGAGTTCAAGAAGGCCCTGGAAGAGCTGGCCACCAAGCGGTTCAAGGGGAAGAGCAAGGAGGAGGCCTTCGACGCTATATGCCAACTGGTGGCAGGCAAGGAACCAGCCAACGTGGGAGTCACTGTAAGTGCCCTGCTGGTCTCTGTTGGCCACTGAGGGGATATAGAAAATTTCTACTGGGGGTGGGAAAGGGCCATGCTCCCTCACCAAGAGCCCTTGGGGGAACTCTTGTCTAAACAGAAAGCAAAAACAGGGGGTGCTGTGGAACGGCTGACTGACACCAGCAAGTACACTGGCTCCCACAAAGAGCGCTTCGATGAGAGCGGCAAGGGCAAGGGCATTGCTGGACGGCAGGACATCCTAGATGACAGTGGCTACGTGAGTGCCTACAAGAATGCAGGAACCTATGATGCCAAGGTGAAGAAGTGAGGCCTAAGATGGCCCCAGTGCAGCTGCCCCTGCCAGGGGCTCAGGCCTGGGGTTATGGGGTCTGTGGAGCAAGAAAGCCTGGTTCCTTCCCTGCTGGACCTGCCACCCAGAGCTTCCTGCCCAGCCCCAGAGGGCCAGCCCGTCAGGCCTCTGACCCAGACTTCTGTTCATCCCCTTCCTCTCCTTGTTGCCTCCCGACTTCTGTCTATCTGGGGACAGTCTATGCCTGTAGCCTCACCATCCCAGCCTGACCTAGGCATGGCTGACCCCTGCCTGCTTGCCTCATATTTAAGCTGCTGCTCTGGCCAAGTGCCTAATTCATACCCAGACCTCAATAAAGATACCTTTTGTACCAGTATGGCCTGATTGGGTAATGACATTCATGCCCTAGTGCCCCCTTCAGTACTGTCACTCCCTGCTACTGATCTCCCCCATCCTACTGGCTGCCCTGCCCAGAAACACGAGTCCTCTGCCATTAGTGCAGAGTTAGATGGCCTCAGATGGCCCTAGGGAAATGCAAGGCCTTATAACTGGGCCCTGACCTGGAGCCTGACGTCACAGCTGATCTCTCTGCACAACAGCGGGAGGATGAGACAGCAACTTGGCCTGGGCCACACCTTAGCAGAGACTCCAATGCCAGGACTAGCTCTAACCCTGCCAACAGGGCTACCAAGGCAGGAATCTCAAAAGACTCAGGACCAGAATGAACCTGAGCGAGTACATAGTTCAACTCCCTCTTTTCTGTTGGTGTTTTATTTATTTATTTATTTACTTACTTATTTATTGGTGGAACCGGGGATTGAACTCAGGCCCTTGCGAGGGAGGGAAGTGCTTATTCCACTGAGCCATCTCCCCGGCCCCTTCTGTTGGTGTTTTGAGACAGTGTCTTACTGTGTAGTTGACGGGCCTTAAAACTCACTGTGTGGCCCAGGCTGGCCTTGAATTCCCTGTGCTCCTCCTGTCTCAGCCCCCCAAGTGCTGGGATTACAGATGTGTGACACCATACCTGGTTTGACTTCCTCATTTTTATTTTATTTTTATTTTTTGGTAATGGGAATCAAACTCAGGACTTTGCATTTGCCAGGCAGGTACTTGTGCCACTGAGCTATACCCCTGGCTAATTTCCTCATTTTATAGCAGGGGCAACCAAGGCCCAGAGAGGGAAGCGGTTTCTGCAGATGGAGCTGGACCATGCCCCTTGCCTCCAGCCAGGCTTTCCTAGCACAGTGAGCCTCAACCCTGATTTCCAAAAGTGGGGCTGGATGGCCAGTGACAGAGCCTGCCACCTGGTATTGGTCATGCTTGTTGGTGGCCAGGGGACTGTCCCACAGTGAAAGGGCCTTCTTGTGCTGATTTCTTCCCATCTGTTCGCCACTCATTAGAGCAGATGGTGCTTCTCTTGTCCTCAGGGCTTCTGAGAGTTTGCAAATCCTCTCTCTGAGGCCCTGGGTGTTGGGCCAAAGCTATTCCCAAGCCTGAGGCTTTGGTGCCAATTCCCTTCTTTCTATGACAAGAGGACTGATGAGACCTGGGACCTAATTAGGAGAGGCAGATGCTGAGGGTTCTATAAAAGGCTGAGCCGGGTGGCCAACATCTTGGGTACTCTTGCTAAAAAAAAGCCAGCCTAGCAGGAAAGGATGGCTAAGGTCTGTGGGATGGAGTGAAAACCTCTGTAAAGCCCAAGCCTGTCAGAGTGGCCCCAGCCCTCTCTCCAGGCACAGAACTTCACCAAGGACCATCTCTATCCAGACCTGTCTTTTCTCTCTTGCTAGTGCCAGGCTCTGGTGAGGAACTCTTTTTCACTCCCCCCCCCCCACTTTAGGGGTCTTCTGCCCCTGTTTTGGGTCCAGTAAGGCCCAGAGAGCGACAACTCTTTGGCCCTTCCCTACTCCTATGTGTAGGACTGAGGGCCACTCAGAGAAAATCAGAACAGGACATTTTCCTGCATTACATTTTGCAGAAGAGGAGCTGGCTTGGATAGGGGCCAGCCATTTTCAGTGACAAAGGGAAAAGGCAGGGATGGAGGCTCAGGCTGGGCTAGACGCTCCTCCTCCTTGGGTGCTCTGAGCACACTGGGACTGCCATTATCAGGTGTTCACTCCAGAAGCAGGAAGGGCTGGGGCAGTAGGAAGAAGTGGGTTATTTCTGCCCCTCGGCCTCATGCCCAGTAGGTCTGCCTACAAGGCTGCCCCAGGCCGTGGGCCCCTTCCCTGAAATGTGAAAACTCAAGGTTGCAAGGCTGCCCAATACTCCCCTTTTCTAGGCAAAACTCTGGCTCTTTGGCAGTCTCTCAATGGGACAAGGACAGGCCAGGGACAGAGGCAGGGTGGGTCAGGGAGGTTGTTCTGTCATTTCTCACACTAGCTGCCTGGAGCACACTCATGGTTCCTCTGTACAGCACCCTGTTAGGAAGCCACATGAAGTCTAGAAGTCCTGTGACTTAGACAGGTGGGGTCTTGTGACTCATTACTTGTGACAATAGGTGTCCTCCCTGCAAAGCACCCCAGGCAGGGGACGGACAAATGAGTGTCTAATCCTTCCACCTCTTCTCTCTCTGACTTGATGATGAAGTAACATCACATTAAGTTGACAGTCTTTTACCCCCTACACTCTTCAGCAGTGTTAGCTACCTGGGAGAAACCCAAAGCAGAAGCTGACTAGAACCACTTGTATTGTCTTTCCTGCTCAGCTGTGATTAAAGAAATGCAGGCTATGTGCGGATGGTGGTGCACACCTCTAATCCTATTGCTCTGAGGCTGAGGCAGAAGGATTGCAAGCTCCAGCCCAGCCTGGGCAACCTAGTTACCAAGCAAGATCCTATCTCAAAAACAGAGGTGGGGGGCTGGGAATATAGCTCAATGTAAAGGCCTTGAGTTCAGTCCCCAGGACTGAGAAGAGGAAAAAAAAATACAGGGTACTTGTATGCAGAATGAATGCTGAGCCCTGCTGGCACGCAGTTCACGGGCTCGTTCGCTGCCTCTCAGCTGTCCAGCTCCTCCCTGGAAGCACCACAAGGAGTCCGTGCCTTACCCAGGCAAAGCGCCTCAAACTCCTCTGCCAAAAGCTGAAGGAAAATCTACAAGGAGCTACCCTGCTGTTACCCTTCTGTAAGCCCCCTGGTTCCCTAAAAACACTGTGTCCCTCCCACTGCCTTCCTGTGCTGCTTCTCTCTAGAGTCTGTCCCACTGCTCTTGCCCTTGGCTCCATGCTTTGCTTAGTAACCTTCTAGTTATTCTTAAGTCAGCTGAATGTCCTCTGGGGACATTTTCCTGACATTACACTTTGCAGGCTAGGATGGGTCATGGGTTTCCTGGTCTCACGGTGCCATGTTCCACCTCCATCCGTGCCCAGGGAGTCCTCTGGGGGCTCCAGACTCTGCACTGGTCTGGGAAGCTTTGCACTCCTCTCTTTGTTATCATGCTCCTCTTCTTCCACCTGCACAGCTTGGGATAGTTCTTTGTCTCTGTCTCTCTCAAACCTTTTCCTTTGGAGCTTTCTTGCTGTGTGTATGTGTGTTTTTGTGTGTGCATTACGGAGGATTCAACCCAAGGCCTCCTTAATGAGCTATATCCCATACTCCCCCCCTTTTTTTTCTTTTCAGTTTTTAATTTTGAGACTCTCTAAGTTGCACTGATCTGGCTAAACTTGGGATCCTCCTGCTTTAGCTTCCCTGGGTCTAGGATTACAGGTGTGTACTACCACATCCATCTTGGAGCTTTTACATAGACCTGCTTGGTGCCAATTCTAAGCTTTAAGCTCCATCAGATAAGTCTGCTTTCCTTCCTAACTAAACCTGTGGGCTGCTCCAGAGTAGACCCCAGACCCTGTCACCTTGCTACCATGGCAGAAGAAAACTCCGAACATGTTTGGAGAATTAACTCATAATCTCTAAAATGTCTTCTAACACAAAGACACCTGATGGTTCTGTTGTTATTTTCTGCCACCTAGTTTAAAATGACACTGGGGAAAATGTCCGGTGTTTTTCCTTTTTGACATTTGTAGTCAAGTGTTTCTGTGTGACATGATGGTTAGGACTAAGCGCCAACAATTTGTGTGGGCAAAAGGAAAAAATGACTCACTGGGAGGAGACAGAGAAATAAAAAGGACAATACAGTGTGATCACAATAAGACTTTTCTTAATCTTGGGGAGTAGACACCACCACCTTAGTGTTGATGGCACTGAGAGCCCTCCATGGATAGGAGAGAGATGGCTGCGAAGGTGTCTGCTAGCTCCACAAATGAGGCTCTGGGGCACCTTCTGAGACACTCTGTATTAGATACTGACCCGTGTCATGTGCCACTGGTGACGAGGAAGACAGAGTGCTTTTCCCAAAGGGCGACGATCTCCCCAAATGATGAGTCTTCTCAGGAGGCAGGAGCGCTTTCCCAGAATAACCTCTTTGCTCTTTATTCAGCTGCTGCAGCAGATACTCATTAGTTACCACCAGGGATCTGAGGCCCGGGAGGGAAAAGACAGGCATGAAATCACAAAAGCGAAGTAGATGACTTTCATGTCTGAAAGGTTTGCTAAAGATAAATGTAAAAAATAATATTTTTCAGCAGAACTGTCCAAATTATGAGTGGGTTATTTTAAAGGCAAACCTACAATGTCTTCATTATAATGGTTTGCGTCCCAGACCGACTGAAGCAATGGTACGTTTATAGAGTGCGTGCGCTACACTCGCCAAAGCGCTCGCGTGAGCAGGTAAGTAGAAGCACTCAAATCCTGGCTCCGACCGGGGCTCACATATCTACCCCCGAATCAGAACTTCTAATCTGTGCTGCTCTCTGCAACTAACGGTGCTAGCCATGAATATGTTCTTGGATTCCACAGGACTATGTAATGTTAAAAGCCATCTGAATACCGGCAGAAAATGATGTATACACGGTACTAGTCATTAGAGTACTATTTTGTTTGTTTTTGTTTGGTGCTGGGATTGAACCCAGGCCTTGCAGAGGCTAAGCATACACTGTACCACGAGCCACACTTCCAGCCCCTATTAGTATTTTTAACACCCAAATATTGTTAACTTCAAAGTCCATAGACATTACTACAGGATTAATTAAACTGTACAATCTAACAATGGAGTACTATGCAACTATAAACAGGAGTGAGAACCAACTCTGTGTGTGTGTGTGTGTGTGTGTGTGTGTGTGTGTGTGTGTTTGGCCAGCTCAGCCCACCAGGGGGCGGGGCTGGCTGGCATGTGGTGCTGGGGGATTGAACCGTGGTCCCTGTGCTTTGCTAAGGCTTGTTCCAAGTAGGTGCTCTAGACCACTGAGCCATCTCATCAGCCTGTGAGAACCAACTCTTTAGACCACAGTGAATTGATTCCTAAGATAAAGTGTTAAAGTAAT